ATATATATATATATCATGGAAACCGGAGTTTCTTCTGTTTATTTCCGATATTTTATTTTTATTTGTTACTCCCCGATAGCATGTCCCCTCCCAGCCTTACTTTGTATTATCTTGTTATTGTTTTCTTGCACTCGTTATATATATCTGTACAGGTTAATTGTGGTAGGTCCTGTTTAGCCTCGTCACTACTTCGTCGGGGTTAGGCCAGGCACTTACCTGCACATGGGGTCGGTTGTGCTGATGCTACACTCTGTGCATTTTGTGCACAGATCAGGGAGCAGCTTACGGACCACAACAGTAGGACTTCTGGGAGCTATCTTCAGTCCAGGGACTCTCAAGGTAGCCTAGCTGGCGTTCGCAGGCAGAAGCCCCTTTCCATGTTTCCGTTTGTTCATCTTGTATCAGACAAACATGATGTTTTCCCTTTCAGACATTGTTTGTAGTATTCTGTAGTAGTCCGTGAGCCAGTGACACCAGACCTTGGGTAGTGATGTGTATTAAACTTCCGCACTTTTGGTTTTCAGTTGCTTTAGATTTAAAGTCTTCCGCTTAAATTTTGTCTCGTTTATTTTATTGTTTGAAAGAAAGCAAGAAAGGTGTTTTAAATATTTGGCTTGCCTAGCTCCGATAGGAGGCGCCATCACGACACCCGATGGTGGGAAATCCGGGTCGTAATATGTATGTTGTTAAAACATGAAATATTGTATTTAATACTGGACTTGAATAGTCCAGATTCTTTTGTCCTAAATTCGTCCAATTTTGGTTACTCCCTAAAAAATATGCTGGAAATTTTACTTATGAAGGGATATGAGCCTGTACATTATAATGAAGAATCGGAAAATATTGGAAACTTGGTATCTAGAACAATTTACTGGAACTAAATAATTAAATATTTTATTTCCTATATATTACACTGGAGTTATAGTTTATTAAAACATGATATCCTGTATTTCATACTAGACTTGAATAATCCAGCTTATTTTATCCTAAATTCGTCCAATTTTGGTTACTCCCTATAAAATATGTTGGAAATGCTACTTATGAAGGAATATAAGCCAGTACATTATAATGGAGAATCGGAAAATATTGGAAACTTGGTATCTAGAACAATTTACTTTAATTAAATAATTAATTATTTCGTTTCCTGTATATAACACTGGAGTTATAGTTTATTAAAACATGATATCCTGTATTTAATACTGGACTTGAATAATCCAGATACTTTTATCCTAAATTCGTTCAATTTTGGTTACTCCGTATAAAATATGTTGGAAATGCTACTTATGAAGGGATATAATCCAGTACATTATGATGGAGAATCGAAAAATACTGGAAACTTGATATCTAGAACAATTTACTGGAATTAAATAATTAAATATTTTGTTTCATGTATATTACACGGGTATTATAGTTTATTAAAACATGATATCCTGTATTTCATACTGGACTTGAATAATGCGGATTCTTTTATACTAAATTCGTCCAAATTTGGTTACTCTCTATAAAATATGTTGGAAATGTCATTTATGAAGGCATATAAGCCAGTATATTATAATGGAGAAGTGAAAAATAGTTGAAACTTGGTATCTAGTACAATTTACTGTAATTAAATAATTTGCTTCCTGTATATTACACTGGAGTTATACGTTATTAAAACATGATATCCTGTATTTTATACTGGACTTGAATAATCCAGATTATTTTATCCTATATTCGTCCAATTTTGGTTACACCCTATAAAATATGCTGGAAATGCTACATATGAAGGAATATAAGCCAGTATATTATAATGCAGATGTGAAAGATAATGGAAACTTGGTATCTAGTACAATTTACTGGAATTAAATAATTAATTATTTTGTTTCCTGTATATTACACTGGAGTACTACTAAGGATAAAATGAGAAAAAATTAATTAATTTTTTCTCATTTTATCCTTAGTAGTACTCCAGTGTAATATACAGGAAACAAAATAATTAATTATTTTGTTTCCTGTATATTACACTGGAGTTATATGTTATTAAACCATGATATCCTGTATTTAATACTGGATTTGAATAATCCAGATTCTTTTATCCTAAATTCGTCCAATTTTGATTACTCCCCATAAAATGTTGGAAATGCTACTTATGAAGGCATATAAGCCAGTACATTATAATGGACAATCGAAAAATATTGAAAACCTGGTATCTAGAACAATTTACTGGAATTAAATAATTAATTATTTTGTTTCCTGTATATAACATTGGAGTTATAGTTTATTAAAACATGATATCGTTTATTTCATACTGGACATGAATAATCCAGATTCGTTTATCCTAAATTCATCCAATTTTGGTTACTCCCTATAAAATATGCTGGAAATGTTACTTATGAAGAGATATAAGCCAGTACATTATAATGGAGAATTGGAAAATATTGGTAATTTGGTGTCTAGAACAAACTGGAATTAAATAATTTATTATTTTGTTTCTTGTATATTTCACTGGAGTTATATGTTGTTTAAACATGATATCCTGTATTTAATACTGGACTTGAATAATCCAGATTTTTTTATCCTAAATTCGTCCAATTTTGGTTACTCCCTATAAAATATGCTGGAAATGCTAATTATAAAGGCATATAAGCAGTATATTATAGTGGAGAACTGGAAAATAGTGGAAACTTGGTATCTAGTACAATTTAGTAGAATTAAATAATTTAATCTTTTATTTCCTGTATATAACACTGCAGTTATATATTTTTAAACTACTATGTCCCGTATTTAATACTGGACTTGAAAAATCCAGAATTTTTATGCTAAATTTGACCAATTTTGGTTAATCCATATAAAATATTCTGGAAATTCTACTTATGAAGGGATATAAGCCAGTATATTATAATGGAGAAGTGTAAAATAGTGCAAAATTGGTAATTACAATAATTTACTGGAATTAAATAATTTAAAATTATGTTCCTATATATTTTGTTGGAGGTATATGTTCGGAAATTATATGTCCAGTAATTTATACTGGAACTTCATAAACAAGATTTTTTTTGCAGCAAATCAAGAAACAAAAAAAAACAGTAATAATATTTTGAAAAACAAGAATACCAAACAAATTATTCGGGATTACAATCAATTTTTCATATCAGACAATGCAACCTTATTGTGTATAATCAATCATTTTTTCTCTGTATTTTCTTGCATAAGGATGAACTACAGCAGCATTTGTGCAATTTGTTCTGTTATGCCCATATTGTTTGCAGCGACCACATTTTGGCTCCTTCTTGTATTCTGTACCGGAAACATGTCGATTCTTCTATCTTCTTCCTAGCATTACTTTTGCATCTGGAGGCTTAGTGATTTCTGATTTAATAGTTTCTGGTATAACCCATGTTGATCAATCACCTATAGAATTTACTTGCCCTTCATATGTTTTCAACCAAAAGTCCCTTGAATAATATGCTGAGCAAAAGGCCGATTTCTTTTGATATATACTGTCAATTGCAGCAATTGCATGTTCACAGGGTATTTCATCTAGCTGAAATTGACAACAATCACATGTTCTTTTGTCTAGATCAACAATAAATTCCATACCCCCTTCTTTCACATTGAATTTGAGTCGATCAATGGGCAATACTCTAAATGTAAAAGCTGGTTTAATTTTTTCTTCCAATGTTGCTTCTGCCCAATTTGATATCTCACGGAATATTCCTTCTGCAGTTGTCCTTCTTTCATAGAACCAGCTTTGCAACTTTTCTTGTATGAAATCCATCATTGTTAAAAGTGGCAATTCTCTTGCACGTCTCAATACATTATTCATTGACTCAACAATATTTGTTGTTAACATATCATATCGTCTTCTCGGACAATGTGAACGAGCCCACCTTCCTGGTGGTTCCTCCATCAAATAATTAAATGTTTTCTTATCAACAACAGCTATTTGGGACATGAAGTCATCAAATTCTGATTGAAGGTATACTCTTGCAGCACTTTGAAAAAGGTTTAGTACAGTATTTCTCACTCTTCTTTGCTTTAGATTCTTTTCTAAATGGTATATGCAAATACCATGGTAGCACTCAGGGAAAACCTTTGCAATACCATTTGCAATGGCCTTGTGTCGATCTGACAAAAACATTAAATCCTTACGAATCCCAATTGCTTTTCTTAATTCTCTGAAATACCATTCATATGATTCGTTATTCTCTGAATCCGCTACCCCAAATGCTATAGGGAAAATCTGGTTATTTGCATCTTTTGTAACAGCCACTAACAGAACACCTCTATATTTATTTTTTAGAAATGTTCCATCAACTGCAATAAGTGGTCTACAATACTTCCACCCAGAAATTGATGCCCCATACATGAAAAACATGTAGACAAACCTGTTCAATTGAAAAGTAAATAACTTTCAGTTATACCATATGACAAGTTGAATACTAATAACATACTACACAAAAAGCTTAAAGACGACAGACTTCCATTAAAATATACTGAAATCAAACACAACTCAAATATTATATACTGGATTAAAGAACATAATAAAAAAGAAGACGAATAATCACTCAAAAAAGTAATGACAAATAAAACAAACTTCTAGGTTAAACAGAACTCATCCAGTATAATATACTGGACAGAAAACTTAAACAAGGCAGACATCCCGTAAAATATACTGGAGTACATCCCATAAAAGCTTACACAAGGCAGATATCCCGTAAAATATACTGGAGAAAAAGCTTACACAAGGCAAACATCCCGTAAAATATCCCGTATAACATACTGGAGGACAAACATTCACACGAGAATTCAGTATAATATACTGGACAAAAATTTATTACTAAATTTTGAAGGCCTCTATTTTATACACAAACATAAGAAATTTACCTGTTTTCTGCATCTCTTTGAATATTAGTATATGATCCTGTATTTTTTTGTTCGATCATATACAAATATGATGCCAGCTACTCATAATTCTGTTCAATTGTTCCTCTTAATAAAGATAAGCCTTTTTGAATAGCATGCCATGCTTTTCCATAACCAACATCTATTCCATGTGCTCTTTTCATTTCTGAAATGACAAACTTAGGCTTTACTTCAGTAACTATGTCCCTTAAGTTGTAAATCATATAATCTTTAATCACATTAGAAGTTGCTTGTCTTTGATGTGATTTTCTAATATCAACCGAGCACTCATGTGTTCTCTGAAATTTAACTATTTTAAAAAGTGTTGATTGTTTAATTCTTGAACCTCGAACAGTCCAACCACACTTTTCATCAGCACATACCAAAGAATATCTTGTGTTACTTGACCTCTTAACATAAAACTCAAAGTGCTCCTTTATAGCCGCTAAGCAAAAACATCTAATCATAGCATTTTTGTCTTGAAAAACTGACCCGAGTTTTACATCATCCAATGATGCATTTTCCTTTAGTATTATTGATGGGGATTCTTTTGCCTTTCCTTTTGCTTTCCTTTTTCTTCCTTCAATAGTGTCTAGTGATTCAATCTCTTGATCTTCCACAGGAATTACAATTTCATTTTGCATTGTAATGTCATAAATTGGCATCTCCTGCTCTTCTGCTACTTCCGATATCAGCAGTACTTGCTCTTCCGGAACATATGTGTTTCTGTGCAATAATTGATGATTGGCAATTTCCATTATTGCACTACTTTCTGGTTGTTGATCTGGTATTTCTGATATTTCAAAAATAAATTTGGAACTTTTATAGTATGGATTATTTTTTAAAAGCATCATACACAAGCTAAGATCTTCATCTTTTGTCACTTGTATTCCCTTAGCAGTACCTAGGTTGATATTAAGCCATACTTTTGCTTCAAACTTGTTGTTGTTGAACTCCATAACTTCAAAAATTTTACTCATGGATTCTTCAAACGAAGTCCCATCATTTATAAGGAGAAGCTTTGTTTTATGATCTAAGTACTTGAAATCTGCTGTCCATTTGCCATCGAATGCGATAAGCAAGAAATTTGAATGCATCATGTATTTAATGAAACCAAATAATAAGATGGAGTTATAATTCGAGCAAAGTATAGTAGATACAAATTATAAATTGTCTTACCTATCTCTAATACAATATACTGGCATATATAGCTTTATAACTAGATTTTTCAGTATAATTATCAGTAAGTAACTAAAATAAGAAATACAACAATAGTTAAATCAGCAAACTTTGGATAAAATATCTTTTTTGTGAACATCCTGTATAAAATATTGGAAATTATAATTTTGCAAGGTACATCTCCAACAAAATATACAGGAACCCAAATAATTAGATATTTAGATGTTATACTGTTAAAAAATATAACTCCAGTATAATAAGCTGGAATAATTGAGTTTTTCATATAAATTAAGCAAATTTCAGCTTATTATAATGGAGTTACTGGAGTCACACAAACATCCAGTATAATATACTGGAAGTATCTAAGTTTTACATATTAATTTAGAAAAATCCAGCAAAATATACTGGCGTTATGTTCTGAAGCATTCTATATTATTTATAGTTATTTTGAACAATGTAGATTTTATTAGTTACGATCTAAATTACAGAAAAGAAGATATTTAATATAATTTAGCACAGATTAACGCATTGAGAAAATTAGACAATAACACAGATTAAAGCATTAATTGAGAGAGTTAAAACAACAAACTTTGTGTAAAAAATCTGGTTTGTGAACATCCTGTATAAAATACTGGACATTATAATTCTGCAATGTACATCTCTAGCAAAATATACAGGAACCCAAATAATTAGATATATAGAAGTTATAATATTAAAAAATATAACTCCAGGATCATACGCTGGAAATAATTGAGTTTTTCATATATATTAAGCAAATTCCAGTTTATTATACTGTTGTTACTGTAGTCAACCATACTTCCAGTATATTATACTGGAAATGTCTAAGTTTTACATATTAATTTAGAAAAGTCCAGCTAATTATACTGGTGTTATGTTCTGAAGGATTTTGTATTATTTTTTGTGGTTTTGAACAATGCAGATTTAAATAGTTACAATCTAAATTACAGAAAAGAAAATATTTAATACAATTAAGCACAGATTAACGCATTGAGAAAATGTGTCAAAATAACACAGATTAAAGCATTAATTGAGAGAACTTACTTCGATTTGCAGAAAATTCGAAGAATCAAAAATTTTTACTGAAAGAATTTTCTGGTTTGAATTACAAACAAAAGAATTGTAGAGAATCACAATTAAATCTGTGGTAGTAGAAGATAGATTTAATTGAGAGAGCTTACTTCGATTTTCAATTTAAAGCCGGAAGGTTTTGCTAAAGAAGAATATAAGGTCAAGTCGCGTAAATTTAATAAACATAGTAGGGGTATTTTAGTCAACAAATTGTTACCGTGCTTAATTCGCGACTAAATATCGTTGACTTTTGATTATGTGGCTAAATTTGATTGACCAGGTGTAAACTGGCCATTTATAAATTTTCCCCGGTGTTAAGAGGCGGCTCTAGTGTTCTTTCCTAGTTAAATTCAAATTCTTTTCCGAGTATGATTCTTTAAGTAGAAGAAAAGTTGACTTCTGTACAATTTTCAGCGTCCCGTATCGATGGAGTTACTATTGCAAGTCTTGTATGTGTATACTTCCATAATTGAGAAATGCAATCCCATTCAAGGTACTAATTATCACATGGATGGACATAATTGATCAAAGGGATACTTCTATGTGGCCCCCCTAGTCAAGAGAAGATATCTTTCTTTTTGAATATGATATAGCATCAATATTCCACAAGTATGAGCAAAGATGTCTTAAGATTGGCGTATGTATTTTGAAAGTACACTTGGCCAAAATGTACCACTCTAGCTAATTGAAAATAATTACTTTCAAGAGGTGATTTCATACCCCAAAAAGCTTTGAAGTAGGGGGCATTTGTAGGCAGTGAAAATTTTATTAAATTTAAATCTATAAGTAATTTAGATTTAATCTTAAGCTAAATATATTTTGATCCAAATAAATGTTACGGGCTAATATAATTGGATAAATTATATAAATCCAATATATATGAATTAAATAAATAAGTCTTAATTTATTGAGCTAACCATATAATTGGGCTGTGAATGATGAACTCACTTCATTAGGCTCAATATGCCATCTTCCTAGATGCCCAGTTTGGTGTCACGTGTCAAATGATATGGCACGCCAAGTGAAACGGAAGAGCCAATATGATCATTTTATATGTCAAAATAATAAGGCATGCCAAGTCAAATTAAAAGGCCAATGAAACTACGCCACATGTGCAAGTGACATGTTCCGGCCAATCAAATACGGCCATGGCACGCTTTTCAATCTGATTGTTCGGAAAGAGTTTATTCTCATCACAACTCTTCCCTTCCACAACGATAAATAGGGGTCTTCATAACTTAGAAAGGAACCAGAAATTATAACAGGAAGTAAGAGAGAGAGCTCATGGATCAAACGCTGCAAATTTCTCTACAAGTTTCAAGCTTCAAGCAATCAAGTTCAAGTTCAAGAAATCAAGTTCAAGATCAAGAACGAAGAACAAATCAAGGTTCAAGGAGTACGAGTTCAAATCAAAGTTCGTGCTAGTTGAATTCAAGATCATCGTTCGTGGCAACAATATAGATTCAAGATCAAGCTCGAAGGTCCTTGAATTTATTTTCTATTGGAAAGAAGAATGAGAGGATTCATAGAGAATGTACACTCATATCATTTTAAATCAAATACTACAATTGTTGCAATATTTTTCGGTCTCGATTTTATTTTCTTGACGCAAATTTATTATCTACACAACCATCACAAAAAATATAATTCTTATATTCCTTAAGATTTTTAATAATTTGTATTCGAAATCAGAAAATCATAGAAGTAAAGAAATATTAGTTCAATAAAGCAAAACATAAAATAATTTTCGAGCTCACAAATTGTGACGACCCGGCCAGTCGTCTCATGAGTTACCGCACCATTTCCCCATTTTCATCTTCCTTATGCTTCATTATCCATATCTTGTGTAATCGAGTTGATTTGAAGGGGTTTTAATAAGAAATAAGACACTTAGTCTCTTTTAAGAAGGCTTAAGTTGGAAAAGTCAACCGGATGTTGACTTATGTGTTAGAGGGTTCGGATGTGAGTTCCGATGGTTCAGTTAGCTTCGGGAGGTGATTTGTGACTTAGGAGAGTGATCGGAAGTGGTTTTGGAGGTACGGTGTAGAATTAGGCTTGAATTGGCGAAGTTAGTATTTTGGCGAATTCCGGTTGATAGGTGAGATTTTGATCCGAGGGTCGAAATGGAATTCCGAGAGTTTCTGTAGCTTCGTTATGTCATTTTGGACTTGTCCGCAAAATTTGAGGTCATTCGAACGTGGTTTGGTTGGGTTTTTTATCAAAAATAGAATTTGGAAGTTCTTGAGATTCATAGGCTTGAATTCGATGTGATTTGATGATTTTTGGTGTTAGTCGAGGTGTTTTGATGATTGGAACGAGGTTGAATAATGTTTAGTGTAACGACCCGACCGGTCGTTCTGAGCTCCGGCGCGTCATTCAGCAGTTTGAGGCCATAAGCGGCTTCATCTCAGGTATATTGACTTGTGTGTATGGTCAGAATTAAANGGACTTGGGCGTATGTCCAGATTTGGTTTTGGGTAACCCGTGAGCATTTCAGCGTATATTGTGAAAGTTAGTACTTTAGAAGAATTTCATAAATTTGGGTTGGAAGGCATTTCAGTGTTATAGAAGTCCGTTTGGGATTCCGAGTCTGGGAATAGCTCCGTATGGTGATTCTTGAGTTGGAAGCGCGATCGGAAGTGAATTCAGATGTCCGGAGGTCATTTTGAAGTCATTTGGCTAAATATAG